AGAAACTTACCTCGATAATACCTTGCTCCCCAGGGATGATCTCAGGTTTTACATCAAGACCAGCCAAAGCCTCCTTTAACTCTTCAACCAATGACTCGTCTCTCACAGAAACCAATTGGGGCTTGAATTGTTTTATCTATATAAACAAACATATGTAGGACCAAGACATTTAGCCCGAAATCAGTATAACCATTTAAGGAAAACTACATGAATCAATTCTTGACAAGATGATAAACTGACAGGGAACGAGATGGATTACCTGTTCAGCCAGGAGTGTGACATTTGAGCCAGCTGCCAGGGCCACAACTCTGAATTTATCTGGGTTTTCAGCCACTATATCCAATGTCTGCAAAAGGAAAAAATTAAAGCACAAAGTACCTTGGTGGTATGAGATAACCCTTCACTTCCTCAACAAATTCAACAATTAGCATAACTCAAAGGTTCTCAAGTGTTCTGTTTACGTAGCACCCTCTAAACTCATCAGCGTTTCCAATAATGATCATAAATTTCTCAGAAAGGAAGGACAAACTAATTCAAGGAAATGGGATTACCTGGGTGCCAATGGAGCCAGTGGAACCAACGATGGAGATTGGTTTGGGACCATCCCAAGTCTTGCGGCCTGGCTCAGGAAGAGCCGTTCCAGGCCAAGCTGGAGGAGGCTGGGACTGGTGAACTGAACATTGGATTCCTCTCCCACCATTCTCCTTTCTCTTCAAACTGAACCCACCTGAAAAAAAATTCACACAATAACCGAAACTAGAATCAATACATGGATTTCAAACCATGCACAAAAGCTGCAGGAACTGGTACAATACAAACAACTTCCTTCCAGAAAGACACTCAAAATCTCAAAAGGCAGCCCCAAAAAAGGACACCCAGAAAGAAGAAGAAACAAACAAACAAACCTGGGAGCTTGGATAAGGCGTGGGTGTGGAACGATTTGGTGGAATCCAAGAAAGAAACGGACTTTACATCAGGAGGAGACAACAAATTGAGAGCCATAATCGACGAATTGAAGAGCGACCCTTTTGATAACCCTGAATTCCCAGCTCAGAAACCCCGGCAGAAGAAGCGTTTTTTTGCAGGAAAAGAAGAGGAGTTTGAGCGGGGGAAAACAAACTATCTCAGAGCTAAGAACAGAGCTTGGGAAGTGGTAATGGAAGGAAATTTAAATATAATGTGAGCGATTGTGTGGCTGCCGGGGGATGGTGGTGATGGCGGGTCGGGTAGTATTATTTATATAATGAAATTAAAATCATTTTTCAGGTCATTCGGCTGCTTGCTCTAGAGTAAAGAAAAACTGTGAGAGCGGAAGGAAAGTGGTGGTGAGGGAGAGACGGAGGCGGAAATTGGGAATTGCCCGTCTGGCTCTGGCCGTCTTTGTGTACCATTTCCATATTTGCAAGAAGACAAGTGATGGGTTGGGTTACGACAAAACGGTATCGTTAGAAGTTTTTATCGTTTAGATGATTGGTATATAGGCGAGTTTTTTTTCTTATAGAAGGCGTTTTAATATTCAAAATTTACTCCACAATTTTAAGGAAAACATTAAACATTGGTAAAAGGTCATCTTTTAATTTTTTTTCATTTTTTGAGATGTTTTATTATTTCACAAACAAACTCATTTGGATCCTTTATATAACAACTTTCCATCGTAAAATAACCAAAGGCAAATATCACTACAACAACAATAATTTACGAAAAGTGTTATTTATAGGATGATACTCATAAAATTTTAATATTAATCTAATACCGGTAACCCAAATTTAAGGATAAATTTTGGAAATCATAAAAAAGTAGTGTTCATGTTAAGACATAAGTATAGATGATCATATGTCAGGTTATTGGATTATGTACGATTTATAGGGACTTTTTCGAGCCCTGTTTTACTATAGATTAATGAATAATATGATGTTCTTACACACACCTAGGAGCATCCCTTCAATATCCATACAAGACTCGAGTAGGCAGGTCAGAGTCCTACGAGGTACCCGCTACTCGGAGTACCCTCCCAAAAGAAGGAGGGGAACTTTCACACTACAAGAAGTTAGGCAGGAAATACAGCTTGTGGGTTGAATCGGATGAAACCCAACAACTTGCTTAACTTCCTGCTCCTTCATCTGGCTTATGTTCTTCTTTAGCCCTCGGACTTATATTCTCTACCTAACCACCTATGTTGGTTTCGGGTACATATACCCTTTTTGTTGAAGGTCGTTCGAACTTTTTCTGAAAGTATGGCAAGAGTTACTTCAGCACCGAGTATTATGCCCGGTCAAAAGGTTTATAGGTCAAGGAATCATCTCATCACATCCAATTATAAAATATATAATAAAATTAAAGTAGATTGAATAGAAAAGTAAATTCTAGTGATTAAAACTCAAAATTTGGTCACTCTCGAGGATTCTTTCATTAGTTTTCTTGTATTCAAATGCTCCAAATTAAGGATTTCTAATCGTTCTGATTTTGATGTTCCAATTTAATTTGTCCTAGTATGCGGTAGTTGGCTCATGGCTGGCTGGTGGAGTTTTTGTGGGAGTGGCATCTTCCTCCTCTTTGTGTGGGTATTTGATTATCCCAATGAACTATGAGAAATGAGGAATCAATATATTGAATAAAAATGAAGCTCTAACCGGCAGTTAATCCCACATTTTGAGTAGTTCCAAACACAAGTAGTTGATTAAACTTGATCATTTGTTTTTTTTAATATATAATATCTCTTTGTTAGAAGCATCATACGATCACTAATATATTCATAATCATTTGTGTAAATTCACATACACAACAATTTTGTAGTTTGTCAAATCATATCAGAGTTTGTACCAAATAAATTAGCGAAACGATTGATCCAATCGTACAACCGTGCCTTAAGCAATAACATCTATGTAATAGCATCGTTAAAATGAAATGAAATGCGGGTGACTTTGTTAAACTCCAGAGAGCGGTGACTTGGAGTCTAACGAGTTAATCTCCATCATGTATCAAAAACAGCGCTGCAATCATATGATTAAATGAAAAAAACATAAAGTACACTCAATGCCTTTCATATTCTGATTAGTTGTGTGTCGCGAATTAGATAAGCATATGTAAGGGAGAGCGCTCTGACCATACTGGATTTTCGTAGTGAAAAATATTATGTCAGACCAAACATGACAGATTTATATGACTATATATGGCCAATCCGAAATTTTGCTTTCGATTTGTGAATAAGCATAACAATAGGTAACCGATTTAAGCTCTTCCAATTCTTCGTTTCCTCCTCCTCTATCTTGTCAACCTAAAACATAAAAGTACTATAGTTTTTGGTAGAATTATTAGCTCACATTGAAGTTTGAACAACATATATATCCTATTATATTTCTACTCGAAACAAGAGTCAAGAATGGCCAACTGCAGACGCCAGTCAAAATGAAATCATGAGCATATTCATGTGGGTGTGCGCATTTTAAACCATCCCTCAATGCCTGAGTTTCATGATATAATGCAATTATGCAAATGGTGATAAAATATTAGGATTTAGGAAGATACGAAAATCGTTATTCTCAAAACATATTAATGGCATCTACGTAGAGAGTAAGCCAGCCAGGCGACAAATGGCGACGGCAAGAACGAGAACGGATACGAACAAAAGAAATAATATGTATATACTATATACTAAGATTATGATTAAGATCCACTGATAATCAAGTATAATAATAATAAGATTAAGGAGATAAGAGGGGAAGTAGGAAAGGAAGGGAAGCAGCGGCAGCCGGCGGGCCAACCAGCCAGCAGCGGTCAGAAGTGGTATGCTGCTATTCATTCATCAGTCCAAAAAAGGGTGTGATTTTCGATTAGGTGATATGATTAATTAATTTAATCCACAGTCAAAGTTAAAGTGATCGAGAGGGTTAGGTGGGAGCGATCGAGGAGTATCTTTGGCTGCTGCAAATTTGAAGATCCTTCCTCTGCTCAAACTTGGACGGTTATTCATTCATTCTATTATTCAACATTTGAATAATTCGAGTCGTTAGCAGCAATTGTTTCATAACATGGTACGAAAGCTTTTTACGATTGGGAGGTCTTGTGTTCGGATTCCCACCATCCTCATTTGTTAAAGCACGTCATATTCGGTCATGTGCAAACTTCATTTCCTTTTGAGTGACTTTCGTTTGCACCTAGTTATGAATAATGCATGGCGGATAGACAAACGGATTAGATTATAGGATAAGACATTTTTTAATATTATCTTTAAATTTCGACGATCTATTTTAGTCTATGTTAATTCATATTTATACTATACTACTGTTATGTACCGATTTGAATTTTTTCCCCTAGTAGTATTCAAATCAAGTGAATTGCATGGACGTAGGTACAATATTATTTATCTGATTTCGATTGCATAAATGATGAACTTCAACATATGCAATTGATTTTATGATTTCATTAGTTTGACTTCAACTTTTAAAAAATGGGTAAATACAATTTAATATCCAAACCTTTCATTTTAAATAATATAATAGCCAAACCTTTTCGAAAACAATCTAATATCCAAATCGTCAACTTTCCGTTCGTTTGACCGTTAGTTGACACTTCAAAAAAGCTTTGTTTAGGAGAAATTGTCACAATACAACCTTGTTTTCTTGTTTTGGCATTGCAGATGACTGAATATTTAGATATTTTATACCATCATGGTGGAGTCATAGACTTCTCAGGTTTGGAACTATGATATGTTGGTGGTTTTTCAGAGAAGATATCGATGGATATTGATGAAGTGTCGTACTTCGAACTTTTTTGAAGTGTCAACTAACGGTCAAACAAACAAAAAATTGACGATTTGGATATTAGATTGTTTTCGAAAAGATTTGACTATTATATTGTTTAAAATAAAAGGTTTGGATATTAAATTGTATTTATCCTTTAAAAATCGTTCTTTTCTTTCTTAATTTTGTATTTCAATTTGCTTAACCAAATTGATCATTGTAGCTAGTGTCCATCCCACTACTGATAGCCCAGCTGACTATTATTAGTGACATTTTCCCACCTTTCAAATTAAACAAATTTTCATTTGGCTGGCCTTCTTGGTGGAAATATGTATCAACATCCATCATACCAAAAGAACATGAAACTGACACCCACAATTACGTATCAAAGTAGAGTTATTTAAATCCATACTCAGAGCAGAAGCTCCCTTTACTTTAGCAAGTGCTGACAAACATATTTCTTATTCGTTCCCCTAGAGCTAAAAAAAGACACCTACTGTTGTTCTACAACTCCAGCTCAGGGTATACAAATAGATTTCCAGTGCAGCTTCTTCCACATCAGTTCATTCGTTTCCTCTTTCAATAGCTCTGTACGGGTTCTTCCTCAATCTCGCTCAACTTCAATCCTCCGTTCGTTTCTTGTCCTCCGCTGTGCGCCGTCGTCTCCTCTACTTCCCCTCCAGACTCGGATATCTTGGTTATCCTCTGCAACTCGTCCGTGACCTCAACAGCAGCAGCAGCTGACGATGATCCTCCTCCGCTCGTTTCTTGATTGGGAACAGGCTCTGCGGCCTCTTTCTTGGATTTTGGTCGCCGAATGGCTTCTGCTGCTTCAGGCATTACGACTGGCGGAGGCTGAGGAGGCACCCATGTCCGCTGAATTGGTGGCTGCTCGTTGGTCTGTGCAACGGTGTTGGACCCTGGCTTGGCTTCGACGTAGTCAAGCTCAGTGATTCTCGGGTTCTTCTTCTGCCACCAAGGAACGGTGTTCTGGGCGTCCGCCTGATAGCTCACTCCGTTGTTCTGTGCACCGAAATCTGAACCTCTGTCCCCATTCAGTGAAGAACCAAATCCTCCTCCTCTTGAGGTGGTTGTGGCTTGATAACCACCATCCCAAGGCTGCTCAGAATAAGCAAGCAGTAAACATTTAAGTTACAAAAGGCTAGATTTCCTGACTACTGAATCTTACTCAAAACATTTAAGTTAGAAAATGCGAGATTTCCTGACTACTGAATCTTACATCGGTGATGTTATGGCATCAAGTTCTCAATAGCACATACCTTAGACCTGGGAGCCGAGCGAGGATTTGAAATTTGCTGGCTAGCATAGGGGGGTTGATCATTCATATCCTGTAAAAGTACAAAACAAGCAAATACCGTAAACATGCAATAAAGCAAACTACCTGAAATGGTAAACTATATGCAGTATACTCTGATGTTTGGAGGTTCTCTCCCCTTTGAACCGAACCATTGCCATTATCTGCAACATAACAACGCCACTTTTTTTTGCCAGCTCAAGTCTTTGTTACACATGAACACATCATTTTTCTCTCTTTTTTCTCAATTGCTTTTGGAAGGTGAAAATCAACATGTTGCTGACTGGAGCATCAATGGGGAAGGAGATGCATCACATATATCATTGCAAACACAAAATCAACAGAAGGTTAGGGCGTCATCAAGCTTTGAGTTCAAAGGCAATGGTTTCCGCCTAAATCAGAAAAAGCCAATCATGTACGGTAGTTTCTCATCAATTTTCGTCAAAGTTAAGGTGATAGAATTCAATCATAAAACAAGTGGATTAAATAGTGGACTTGGCCCTGTGCTAAGCAGTAAGTCAGAGCAATGGAAAATGCAAGATTTCATGGCCCAAGTTCTGTTTAACTTAATGCCAACCCAAGTGAAGTACAGTACCTAGAGATTTGCAGTTAACATAATAGATACTTAGATAGCAATGGCATTATAGTACTTTATATTCTATACTATGGTTCATCTTGTCCCAAAGTAACAACTAACAGTTTCAAAGTTGTATTTCTTACCTCCATGTATGAATTGAGATAAGGTGGGGCAGATTGATCTGCAGAAGTTGGTGGTGAGGAAGACCTTGCTGTTCATAAAATATAGAAAACACAACACGCAAATTACCAAGTGAAGAGGGGAAAATGGAACAAAAATGAACCATTAGTTTGCAAGTATAAGAACCTGAGCGTGAATCAATCTCTGGTTTGTTTCCCATTGGATATGTTGGCTGGCAAGAAAATAAAAGACAAGAAAATGTTACAGCTTGAACCCGAGTTATAACCCAAATGTTTTTCATGCCAGGACAATTATGAATCAAATTTTATAGCCTGGATACCTTAAGGTTTGCAATTGAACCATTGTACCCTCCATGTTCGACCCGATGAGTTCTTTCAATTTTGTCACTTCTCCCTAATGACCATAATTATAAAGAGTAGATATAAGAGAAGGAATAGAAGAAGAAAAAAACTCGTTGAAATGGGTATTCTGATTATAAAGGCTCCAGTTCTCCAATCAATTAAAGTTGGAATGAGATAAACTAGTGAAGGAACAATTGACAATTGAGATGTCAATATTTGCATAAACAATCGCCTGATTACAAACTGATGCAAACCAGGTCATGCAAAGGTAAGACTGAGTGCAGACAGACTAATCATGCAGGAGCCCATGCCCTGCCTAATACTTAGTCAAGGCACACTATTAAGCTATGGCCTGAAACATAAAATGCACAAGAATGTGAATGAGCTACCCATGCTCTGAGAAATCTCTCAAGAGTTTCAGAGGGGAAAATCTGTTTATTGCTGGAGGGAAAAGAGTTGAACCAGCATCTGTCACCTTTTACAATCCACTTATTATTTGTGCCACCAAGGCCTAGCTCAAGGATTTAGAAGGATGATTCTTTAGATAAAGGTATGAGGTTCAACCAGTTCTCCACAGCAACTGAAGCAAATTAACTATCTAGCTTGTAACGCAATATGATGCAAATAAATTGAAACATCAAGCTCAAAGCTTAGCAACCTCGTCAATAAATAAAATTCCATCTTAACTAATGTCATTGGATCTATAAAATACTTGTGATGCGTGACTCTAGGAACTCCTGAGGACCACCTAAGAAAAAGCATACAGCAAAAGCTAACGAATTTACTTTCTTAAAGAAGCAAACATATTATCACCTTCCAGTTGTTGTATGGCATTGCCCATTGACCTAATTTCAGTCACTTGCATTTGTAACAAATCCATGAACTTCTCCATGTTTACTTTCTCTGAAAAGGCCAGAAGACTAGTTTAACAATAAGAAGATAAAATAGCTTATCAATAGGAGTCCAGAAGCATTATTATAAGGAAATAAACTCACACTACGGATATTTCCTACCTTCACGTCTTGAGATCATCATTTCCTGGCTTGCTTTTGCCACATCAGTCGCAGCAGCTGCAGCTGATTTTGCCGCTGCTGCAGCTTCTTCAGCCACAGATGGTTTTATATTTGTTATGTCCCCATCACCATGTTTCTCTTCCAGAACCACCCACCGTATCCAAGATTTTAGCCGGGGAATCATGGACTTCTGAGAGAACATATAAGTTGTTCATTAGCTTCTTAAAATCATTTAAATTACACATATGGAGTCTAGAGGGTGATAAGTTAGTGCTGCAATGAAAAAAAAAAAAAAAAACAAAATCCAGCATCAAATATAGAGACAGGAACTTTGTGCTAAGCACTAGAACTGTCCCGATTGTGCACTAGAGATCAGAATATGTTATGGTACCTTAACCCAAATAGCCGTTCCAACACCAGAGGCTGTGAGCAATCCAACAGCAAAAACAGCATGGTACCAATGAAATCGAGACCGAGCCAAGGCGACCATCGAGGGACTCCCACCACTAGGAACAGTTGTCATCGGCAGCGGGGTTTGAGCAACAGCTGCTGGCTGAATGGTTGATGTTGTTACTCCCTGTCCTGCTGCTTCCGATATGAATAAACAAAAACATCAATAATCCAAGAATACATGACCAACCTCAGTGAAATCAGAGAAATGTTTCTTCCACAGCAAACTAACATCTCCTTTTAATACCAAATAACTTTACCCTGATTGGTAGCAGTTGGCTGAGCACTTGGGGACGGATCCTGCAAATTTTGAAGACAAATATCAGGAGAAAGTGAAGAGTCAACTTATACATCACTCGGGGGGTAAATGTATACACTGAACAATGAACAGATGCATGGTCGGAAACACAATAACGAAATTATTTAATCACTTACTGGTACACGCCGAAAAGCTTCATCTATCTCTTCCTTAGTTAGCCCCTTCTTCTCAAGAAAATTTCTTCTGTGGAAAACTGGAGAATCCCTAACTTTCGGGTGAGAAAGAAATTTTATAGCATTTTGTACTTGGTCTTCTCGTATTGGTTCCGAATTCACAAAGACAGACTTCGGATTTTGTGGAGCGGCATCTTGCTTATCTCCATTTGCTGGTTGCACAGCTTCAGCAGCTGAAGTTTGAAAGAGCAACAAGAAAAACATTAACCTTTATGGCTTCACATCGTAAACACAAACCCCACATGTTACAACTACAAGCAATTCAGACTCCCATATGCTAATTTAATCACTTCCTTCCTCTTTGCACCCTATAAGCCTAATGTAGGCTGTTTCAAAGACCAAATAAAAATTTTCCTTTAAAACAACCGCGAAAACTCACAGCCAAATTCTACGATTCGACAAACTTACATTCTGTCTACGATAGCAATAGTTAGCCTTGTAACAGCTGCAGAAAACTGGATTCATACCCTCTGATTACTATCAACACTGTAAAATGAGCTAAGAAGCTTCAACAGCAATCACAGACAACAGACAAGTTAAGTCCTAGCTGAAACATCTAATTGTAGCCACCAGAAGAAGCAGATTCCATGTCCGTCTCAACTCCAATTTCAGGTCCAATATCTGCCACCGATCCTTCCCTCAATCAAACGAGCTAATAAGCTTCACGGACAACTACAGAACAAACGAATTTCTAGCTAGAATATCTCGTTGTAGCAATCAGAAGACGGACGTTCCATACCAATCTCAAATCCGACTCCAGGTTCAATATCTACGATCAATACTCCCCTCGATCAAATGGTAATATCACATAACATACGGCTCAGAAACCGTCAGCGTTGTTGGACTAGACTAAGCAATCCTAATCAATCCCAGGAGTTCAATTATGGGAGAAGAGTAACGATGTCAAGAATACTGATCAAGAAATAGGCGGAGAGGTAGTGGACCTGAATTCTGAGGAGTTCCCCCGGCGGCGGGAGGATTGGCAGGAGACGAGGACTCAGCCGCCATTACTCAAACCTCCGTTTGACTGAATTCAGGAACTGAGCCGTTCAGGTACTCATAATTCATTCAAGCAACGAGCTGAAAGAAAGGAAAATGAAGAAGATGAAGCAGCAAGCGCAACTTACCAACCAAGGGCGAGGCAGGAGGTTCGCAAAACAATAACGATTTGAGGGAGGTGGTGATTTATTAACGAATCGGTGGGAATGCTAACGGAAGTTTTTCCTCATCCCGAGGAGGACTGACTATCCTGCGCTTCTCTGCTACTGTGTGGGAACGTAACGGTGGCAATGGCGGAATGAGAGAGCCGTGATGACGATGGGGAAGGTTGTTAGACTTCCATCCGTCAAATGCCAGCGCTTATGGCCACGAAAAGGCCCATTATCCACGGATACCAATTTTCTGCACCATTCATATATAAAAAAAAAAAAAAAATTTGGGGATCAATGCCAAAAAAAAAATTAGGGCCGGGCCAGAAGCCCACTAACGGCCCACGGGCTTCCAGTGTAGAAAAGATTAAATCGTTGCTCTCTGATTCGAAAGTAGACAGAAACGAACACACTTTCGCTATTTCTTCTCACCGGTTGTCGATGTAGAGAGAGCAGAGGAAGAAGCAGTGAAATCAGAATACACAGCATCAATGGCGTCGACGGATTTCTTCGAATATTTCGATCCCCGATTGATCGAATCACTGGAGAACTGCTTCGGATACGCCTACAAAGCCTATCCCGTTCTCGAAGACGAGAACGGTCTCATCCGCTCCGACATCCAGCCGGAAGACGATCAGCCGCCGTCGCCGGTCACGCCACTACCTCCGACGCCTCCTTCCGCTTCCTCGGTTTCGTTGATCGTCGTCTTCGACGTGCTCAATTTAGTACCGGCGCCGCTGGATCACTGTCTCGTCAACCGCCGCACCTGGTTCTCGCGCCTGCCTCTCGAGAAAATCCTTCCCGCCAGATCGCCGTCGGGGGAACCGGACGACGAAAATCAGAAGCCACCGCGTACGCGTCAATCGTCCACTCAATTGGAGCGCGCGACGGAGTTCGTGAATCGGCTGGTGGAGGAATCGAGGCTCGAATTGCCGAAGGACATCGTGGAAGGGATCGCTCGAGTGATTGTGGAGAGCGTGCCTAGGGATTCGCGCTTCATCTTCCGGCCGGAGCTGCCGGTGGCGGTGAACGTCGTGATTTCGTCTCCGCATCCGGTTCTCCCCTGCGGCGAGCGCGATTCGAGTTCGTCGCCGCCGGTCGATGTGAAATTCGAGGCGGACGTCGAGGCGCTGTCGTCGAGCGGGCTCCGAGTCCCTGCTTCGGAGTCCGCAATCGAGAGTTTGGAGACGGTGGCGGCGGCGGAGGCGGGGGAATTTCGATCGGAGGAGCGCGGATGCGCGATTTGCTTGCAGGACCTGGCCGGATCGTCCGGGGCGGTGAAACGGCTGCCGTGTTGCCACGTGTTCCATCACGATTGTCTCGTGAAGTGGCTGCGTTTCCACCACACATGTCCCCTGTGCCGCTCGGCTTTGCCCATGGATTTGGAATTCGCACGAAGAGAACTGCTGCGGAGGATTTGTTGATGGTCATTACTCCATTACTGGTTTGTTTCCATCTTTTCCTATTGCTTGTTGTGAACTTTCTTAGAGCAGAAGAACTGTAAATGACTGTTGACTGTGCCCACCAACTGGACTTGGTCTAGAATTCTAGTTGAACATAAATAACTGATGTACAAAGTGATTAGTGTTTCATCAGGTCTGAACTTGTTCGAACAGGTGCTGTAAAAGTGATTACAAAACACAATCATATCTGATCTTCTTGGAAGAATCTGCATGTGTTATGTGGAATTATCTAGTTAACATCAGCATTGTTGTTATTGTGATTGTCAGAACAAATCCCTTTATTTTGTGTTTGGTGTATAGGTTGGTCTAATGTACATTCAGACTTGGTTCACAGGCTATAAACTCATTTTTTTGCTGGAGTTTTCTCCTTTCCTTGTGATGAATGAAAATAGTTGTTCATCATCGGGAAGATAATTGTGAGAAGTCCTATTTGGTTGCCTCTTCTATTAATTGTGTAGTCGGTAATTTGATTCTCATATTGAAGCTCATTTCGTGGTCGTTTACGGTTTCGTGTTCTATAAGTTTTTTTGTTTGGAGATGTGCTAATGGGGCTCTTGCAACTAGAGGCAGACTCTTTAGACCTCACTGCTCTCCTTCATCAGTGTGTCCTGTCTGTGAATCGTTACGGGAAGGTCTTACGAGGCAGCAATTCGTGGCTGCCCTCGACATGCTCTAACGCCATGTTGGTCCTCGATCAATGGTCCACTTGCCTTCAGCATTCAGCTCATCTTAATATGTCCCTTGAGCTCACGGATACCCACCTTCAACCTGCTCCGCCGCAAGGCAATCTCGCTCCTGAGATTCACTGTGATGGATCGTTCTTTAACTGATTCTCAGGAGACGACATTTGGCATTGTCGTTATTAATAGCCATGGACAAGTGACAGATGGGAAAGCTGGGAAATTTGTTGTGCAACTCCATTGGAAGCAGAAGCTAAAGCTATATGCTGGAAGGGCTCACGACTGCAAATGTCCTTAGTTCTTCTTGTCTGATCAGAACAGACAGCTTGACGACGCGTACAGAAGCTCTCGTTACTCGTCTGAAAATGTCACTGGAGAATTTCTGCATTGTTTTGGTGATTCTCTTCTTTGGACAACCCTCTCCCTGTCTTCCAGTCAGCTCAGGATCATCTGCACTACTCATTCATTCACAGAGTTTAACTTTCTCTCCCATTCCCCTTTCTCTCTTGTTGTTGATGTCATATTTATGTGAACCTGGTGTTCCAAATTTTCTATAAAGTTGTGATTCTAATTGCTATGTGCTTGTGTTTGTTTCATTATAGATAATCATGACATATTTTACTTGTAGTTGAGGTCAGTTAAATTATGAATTAACTATTGAAATTGAGGTTAAGTAAAAAAGTGTTGTAAAATTGTTATGATCTCTTCAAATGCTGACGCCTGCCTGGTGCCATCTTGAACTTTGATTAATATATTTTTACTACCATATATATATAGATAGTCATTGTACATGACGATATATTTATACTATTATATAGACAATCATTATATATTACGATTATTTATAACATTATGTTACAACTATCATGATATAATCTTATGTTCAACCAAAAATTTCGATTATGATATACAAATATATCCCTTTTCTTCTCTTTCAATCAAAATCAAAGTGAATGTCATTTGATAAGTACAATTAATATGATTTGTTTATATATATAATTAATTGAAAAATATTGAATACAAAATTAATAAAAAATATAGACAAATACAAAATTAATTAAACCAGAACCGAAACTTCATAAAACACGTTTGGGAATTGTGGGGAGAGGAAAGATAATGGATGCGAGGAATTCCATTGTCGAATGTTAATGCGATGACTAATAAATAACAAAATAAACAGTCAAATTAGTGATAATTAATCCACCGACAGCATATCTAATATAATATTCAAGAAGTGGCAATGATCTTTCCATCACAACAATACCTGTCCATGTTCTCTTTGCATTTTCTTCTGGGTAAATGACACATTTGGTCACTGAGATTATTAAATTGTGTCATGTTTAGTCACTAGAAAAAATTAATATCAATTTTGGTCACTCGAATTACCGAAACTGGTCAAATTTAGTCACTCTCCCGTCAGTTTCCGTCCAACTCCATTAATGTAGCTGGACGGAAACTTTTGGGAGAGTGACTAAATGTGACATGTTTCAGTAATACGAGTGACTAAATGTGACATTTTTCAATAATTCAAGTGACCGGAGTTGGACAGAGGCTACAGAAGAGTGACCAAATGTGACCTGTGTCAGTAATTCAAGTGACCAAAATTGATATTAAATTTTTCTAGTGACTAAATATGACACGATTTAGTAATCTCAGTGACCAAATGTGTCATTTACCCCTTTCTTCTTCTTTATTCCCCTCCATTTTTAATGCCACTTCACCGGAATATCTTTGCAAGAACAAACCCTTAATACAAAAGAAAAATATATGGTTTAGGATAGTGTATGTTGGCTTAAGATAACTCTATCGTAGTTCAATCGAGTTTTGCTCTTTAGGTGATGAATTAATAAGAATTCAGGCATGATATTATACATAATGAACCTCAACTCCTAACTCTCTACCACAAATCAGAAAATTTATCGAATTTAAAAAATATTAACCCTATGATTCTAATTCGTCCAAATATATCAAAGTACAAATAATAGATATGAACGCATATTAATATCATACATCATACGTATGCTAGCGTTTGTCTACAAATATATGCTAAAAGCCATTATGACTAAAGACGGTTCAATGGAATTTGTAAGTTGTATCCTAAATTTTCCTTTAACTGCACACGAATGAAACTCAAATAATTATTTTTAGCAAAAGAACTAATTTGCTTTGCTTTCCAACAAGTGTTACACATCTCCTATCTATTTAAATTTATTGATCAATATTTCTTTTCGTGCTCTTATCAATGATAGTCTTTTTCGACGCACTGTACACCTTTCCATCACACTAAATATGCACCACACTATACCAACTTGTACAGTTGTGCCATCACCATTCACCAATATATGACTCAGGCACATAGTCTTCAACTCTCACTAGTCACTACGAATATACGTATAAGGGCATATGCAGGGTGTCAATGCACTAGAAAAGTGGATGGCGATGAAACCCTATGAATTAATTCGTATAGATCACTAAGGCCGATCTTCGTTCGTGCTCGATGGGTGGGTCTTGCAAGTGTTGGTGGTTAGTTAGATTAACCTTTTGTTTGTGCTCACAACCTTTATGTGGTTGGTCAATTGTGGTAGTCTTATTGATTGTAGTGTGTTTGGTTAAAGCGAAATATTCTTCTTCGACATTGTGGTGGCCACCTTAGATCTCCAAACTTGAATATATAGTTTAAGGTAAAACCATTTTTGTTAGGTGAAAATGACCCATGGTCCAAATGGAAACCCTACGTTCCACCATATAAATCTACCATCTTAAAACCCCCCTATATATCCTCAACAACAATGTATAAACCAATTCCTTATTGTTAAAAGATGGATGCTATAATTGAAATTTTGTTGAAAATAATAATTTTTATTGACATAAAAAAGAAATTTGTCGTATTAACGCCTGATTATGTTATCATGAAATGTTATGAAGCTTATAATTTTCCAGTTTTCTCAAAGCTACTAATGACCAAGTTTGACTACGTTCAAGTTTAGAAGAAGTTCATCTTGAACTTTCTTCGTTGTACTTAAAATTTTTGGTGTTGTTCTGATGTTCTCTAATTGCAACTAGTAGTTTTTGAAAAGTCGATGCAGTTTTAAGATATTGTATGATTTTTGTAATTCTTTTAGTACTATTTATGGTAATAGGGTCATCTTATATTGAATGAATTATATAAAATGCATGATTAATGAATATAGAGGTGCAAGTAACTTAAAACGTGAATTTCGACCATCTAAAAAAAATACATATGATATTTATCTTGGATATATAAACTAAAGCATGCATGAATACATATTTTTCATCTTTTAAATTAAATTAGTACAATGAGTACGTAGAAATCTGATAAGTTGTCGTGCGAACGTGAAATATTAGAAAGATACGATAAACATTTAATTAATTATTAACATATATGGATCAATTAATAACTATTTTAAATTAATTACAAGAGAATAAATATGTAAGACCAAAAAGGGGGAAGAAGGGTAGAAAAGAAAAAGAAAGGGGAACGGAAAACGGACAGAAAGCAAATCGGCAGTTGCGGTTGCAAGGTCGCGCGTCGGCTTCTTCTTCTTCTCCTTCCTCCCGCGCTGGAATTGGCATTTGCCAAAGACCAACACCAAAAGAAAAAACAAGTCGCTTTCTTTTCCTTTTTCTTATTCTTCTTCTTCTTATTATTATGTCATTCTCCTACCTATCCATCTCTGACATTCCACCTCTGCTCTGCTGCAATAAAAACTAGTTTGCCCCTTCTCTTCATTTCATTTTCTTCCCTTCATATTATTCGGAGAAAAATTGATTACCCATTTTCCTGGCCATTGTATTTTAGTTAATTGACCTCTTCAATTCAATATCCCTGCTGTGCTGTCTTCCCGCATTCTTTTTATCTTCTTCCTCGCGTCAGTCTTTTCTGTATTTACAGACAAGAGGGAAACCCTCCTTTTCCCTTTCATCATCTTCTGTTTTATCCATCTCCAAACCCTCCTTGTTGTCTACCGTTTTTCTCCACCCTAAAAAAAGAATGGAAAGCCTGCAACTTTTTGGTGCCTCTTTCGCATGAGCTGACCATCTCGTCATCTCTCCTCTTGTTTATCTGTCACCTATTTTGGGGATCTTATTTCTTCTTCTTTCGTCCTTCTTCCCATGGCGGTTGCTGGTTCTTAAGGTATTCTTTCTGAATCCCTCTTTCCCATTTCTTATGGTCTCTTCATTTCGTTATGCTTTCTTTTCTGTTTCCATTTCTGGGTCAAGGTTATATTAGCTCCAGCGCTTTGGGGGGGTTTCAATTTAATGTTCTGCGGAGTTGGTGGTGGCCGATTAAATGTATGGGTCTTCCTCCATTTGAATGATTATGGAGAAAGGATCCAGTTTGCTGTGCTTTTTCTTTGAGTGTCGTTGTTTGGTTGGTGGACGAACATGGTAAAGTTTCAATTGCATGATTAAATGAGCTCAACGGATAAAAAGTAATTAGCTTTTGTTGTTTCGATAAAGCAAGTGATCTAGTTGAACTCCGTTGTTTGCTATTTTGGTAACTTCTGCTTGTTCTTTCCTAGTTTTGACCTTTTCCCAGGATTTTGGTATGCATTCCTTTTGGATTGGATCTGCAGTCTGCTGTCAACAATGCTTTCCCTCAACTGAAATGGTTTCTTTCTTGGTGTGCATTTGCTCATTATTAGGAAGGAGCTAAGGAAGAAGCTGAAGTAGTAGCCACTGAAATGAATGGAAACTTTGCTCCAGGCAAGGAAGCCCCAGTTTCAAACCAGTCTCCTACAAACAGTGGTGGTAGATCCAGCCCTCACACCACAGGCATAGTAGATAGCACTGTCCATGAAGAGGGTAATAATGCTGCACATGATAGTGTCATTGATGGTGCTCATGATGAAAGGGTAGTTGATACCTCAATTGAGCAGCTATATGAGAATGTATGTGATATGCAGAGCTCGGATCAATCACCTTCCAGGCGCAGCTTCGGATCCGATGGTGATGAATCCAGGATTGATTCGGAGTTGCGCCATCTGGTAGGGGGCGAGATGAAGGAGATCGAGATTATGGAAGAAGAGGAGGAAGAAGAAGAGGTAAATACTAAACTACCTGAGTTAGATAACTCTTCACCTCATAAGGAGACTTCATCTGCTGAAGTCGAGAAGAAGTCTGTTTCATCTAGCGATTCCAAGAACCCTACTAGTAACTTGGCATCCGAGTCACCATTGAGCCCTAAGGAGAAACCTCTTCTAGATAGACCACCGATGGAAAAAAAGAGTGGGAAGAAGAAGAAAACAGTACCTGCTATGGCTTTAAGGAAGAGGAATAAGTCTGTAGGCGTCGCCAGCAAGGGACCTTCTGAGTCGGGTCAGGATAATAATCCGGATCTTGGGCGGTTTCTTCTGAAACAAGCAAGGGATTTGGTCTCTTCGGGGGACAATAGTAACTACAACCCCCAGAAGGCACTCGATTTAGCACTTAGATCCGTCAAAGCATTCGAAGCCTGCACCAATGGCAAACCTAGCTTGGAATTGGTCATGTCGCTCCATGTTGCAGCTGCAATCTACTGCAGCACGGGACAGTACAACGAAGCTATCCCACTTCTCGAGCAGTCCATCGACATTATTCCAGCCATCACAAAGGGCCACCAAGAAGAACACGCTCTCGCCAAGTTTGCCGGTTACATGCAATTGGGTGACACTTATGCAATGCTGGGCCAGCTGGAGAACTCCACAAAGTGTTATTCCACCGGGCTCGACATCCAGAAGCAAGTTTTGGGCAAGAATGATCCTCGAGTTGGGGAAACTTGCAGGTACTTAGCTGAGGCCCATGTTCAGGCATTGCAGTTTGACGAGGCGCAGAAGCTATGTCAGCTGGCGCTCGACATTCACCGGGAGAATGGAGCTCCAGCTTCCCTTGAGGAAGCAGCTGATCGAAGGCTGATGGGACTGATCTGTGAGACGAAAGGAGATCATGAGTCAGCTCTTGAGCATCTTGTGTTGGCCAGCATGGCAATGGTGGCTAATGGTCAGGAAGGGGAGGTGGCTGGGGTTGATTGCAGCATTGGCGATGCTTACTTGTCGTTGACTCGATATGATGAGGCAATCTTTGCATATCAGAAGGCTCTCACTTCGTTGAAGACTAAGAAGGGAGAGAATCATCCTGCTGTTGGGTCGGTTTTCGTGAGATTGGCTGATTTGTATAATAAGACTGGGAAGCTGAAGGAAGCAAGATCATACTGCGAGAATGCTTTACGTATTTACGAGAAGCCTGCCCCAGGGATCCCTCCCGAGGAGATTGCGACCGGTTTGACCGACATTTCTGCCATTTATGAGTCGATGAACGAGCTCGAGCAGGCGATCAAGCTGCTGGAGAAAGCATTGAAGATATACAGTGATGCTCCCGGCCAACAGAGCACGATGGCTGGAATTGAGGCTCAAATGGGAGTGATCTACTACATGATGGGGAGTTACTCGGAATCATATGATTCATTTAAGAGTGCAGTTGCCAAATTGAGGACTAGCGGAGAGAGGAAGTCTGCTTTCTTTGGGATTGCCCTGAACCAGATGGGTCTTGCTTGTGTTCAGCGGTTTGCTATAAACGAAGCTGTAGAACTTTTCGAGGAAGCTAAGGATGTTTTGGAACATGAATGTGGACCTGAGCATCCCGACACTCTTGGTGTCTACAGCAATCTTGCTGGCACCTATGATGCCATGGGGAGGTATGACAATGTGTTTGGTTTTCACATGCACACCAATTTTATTTCCGTTTGGTCCAATGACTTGCTTAGGTTTTATGTTAACTTTGTGACAGGCTGGAAGACGCGATCAAGATCTTGGAGTACGTTGTGCAAGTGCGGGAGGATAAGCTCGGGACAGCGAATCCGGATGTGGCTGATGAGAAGAAGAGGTTGGGAGAGTTACTGAAGGAAGCAGGGAGAGTTCGGACCCGGAAAGCGAGGTCTCTGGAGAACCTTCTTGATAACCATGCTGCAAACACTTCTTCTCACAATACAACAAATAAAGATGTGATTACAGTAGTGTAATGATGGGTTGTCATATACAAAAAGAAAAGATCTGCACACGAGATTTCAAAAGCTATAGGATGTAATATGTAAGAAGGAAAAGTGATTGAAAAGAAGTGAAGAAATGGTTTGGATTTTGGGATCTGTTATTTTTTTAATGTCTCTTATCTTGTTTTTCTACCCTTGAGCCAGAGAGAGGCAGGGGGAGTTCTGTTTGCATGATTGCTCCTTGTACCTCTTTCTTCTTTTGTTACTTATCAAGGGTTGATTCCTCTTTTGTATAAGTTAAATTGCTTGCTGTATAAATTATTTGATGTAAATCTGGATCTAAAGTTAAAGTGATTGCATGTACTCATTTTGATTCTTCAATGAAGTAAATGTTCTATTGCCTATTGCATAATGATTTCTTCAATAGTTTAAACTAACTTGATTGGTGAAATTACATCTGATTCCACCTCAAAAGGACACTTGGTCGGGAATCAATTGGCCAATCTTTATATACTGAACATTCTCTTACCTGTAAAGTTAAGCCAAGTGATGAACAGAGTACAAGAATTTACAATGATGTCGGCAGCCTCTCAGCTTTGCTTTACTTTCCCTTCACATTACAAAAACTGAGCTTTCACTCAATGGGCTGTAGGGGGTGCTTCAGTTATGATCATCAGTTGTCCTAACAATGGCGGCCAACTGAACCCCAATGAACTTGTAAGGAAAGTGGCGGTGCATATTAGTTTGGGACCGAAGAGTAGATCTTTGGGGCCACCCTCTGGAGAAAGGGTAGGTTGAGTAGTTATTTAAAGACACCATCTTTGACAGCCTTTCTCTTCTGCTGGTAAAAAAGAAAAGGCATTTATTGGTGGAGCGTGGGTGGGGGCTGCCAGTACTGCAACAAATTCTGAAGATAACTTTAGTGTCCTGAAACAGGTTGGATGCCTTCTTCAAGCTCCTCTTTTGTTGTGGGCAGCTTTGCCCTCCATGTCTTTAGAGGTTTGCTGCCAGGCTGCCTGCCATCCATTGTTGCTGTCCAGAGTACTTGCAATAATAACCTTCGCCAAAGCACATGGGAACAAACAGATCAGAATAATCAACAGAACAGACCTTTACATCTGCTGCAATTGTTCAGCATCATACGAATCCAGGCTACACCGACCATGCTGAACCACGAGATAGATTTTCCTGACACGTTTTTCGACAGAGGTCATGCGTTTCAAAAGTTAGATCATGCGTTTCAAAAGTTAGATTAGAGGTACGTACCAAAAGCAGCTAGAAGTTCCCATCCTTTGGTAAGCTTCACGATAATGGCTAACCTTGGCCCTCAATTCTCGTTGTGAATATCTAGCAGCCACGCACTGCAAGTGGATGGTACGAGTTTAAGTTTTTTCAACATGACATAAAACAGTTTGCGCCAACTTTGTCGGTGTATCATAGTCCAAAACATTATCCAAGCACCATACCTACTTACTTATCCAAGCAATGTAGGATTCAGTGGTAAGAAAGTCATGTAATACAAACACTTGCTCTTATGTGTACTGCATTTCATCTATCTCCCTCCCCAGATAAGACCACCGACCTTTAGCGTATTTGGATCCGGGATGAAAGCTTCAATTGTTGCATTCTCAGCAGATTGTTTTCATTCCATTCCCACATAAGTTTGCCTGAAAATTGAAATAAAGTTGAAAAGGGTAAATAGTCACTTAAAGAGAAAAAGACCGAGCGAGAATCAGAGATGGCAGTTAATGGCATAAACACACTTACATCTAGTTTGTTGATCAGGCTTTGTTCAATTACAAAAGTTCCAAGATCTGCCTCTAAATCCAATCTGCTGCCCTCAAAAGTAGAAGCCACTAGCTAGTGACGTTTGATGACAACAGCCCATCATCCTAGCACCTAATATTAGCAAAACATCTCAATCCTTCGTATGAGAACCTACAGCTGTTGATTGTGAAAGAGGAACATACCCTTCCTCTTTGATCTCTACACTCAAACTCTCAAGAGTAGCATAGATCTCCTCACACAGAGGGTGGGAGCAATCAGCAGCCGTAAACGTATGAATGTTATTATCAACTTCTATCCAGCTGCACCCGGGCTGTTTTCTTACTCCTGTATCTCTAATCTCTGTTCTCATCTGACTAACTTCATTCCATCTCCCAGATTCTTTGTACAGATTAGAAAGCAGTGTTCGGTATCCAATACTTGTAGGATCAAGCTCAAAGATGTGACTTGCCACAACTCTTGCTAACCCAACATTGCCATGATTTTTACAAGATCCAAGAAGCGAACCCCAAATTCGATCATCTGGTGAACAAGGCATTTCCTTGATTAGATCATATGCCTGATTAAGATTTCCAGCTCGACCTAAAAGATCAACCATGCAAGTGTAATGCTCAACTCTAGGCTCCAGGTTATAGTCCTGAGTCATGCTGTTGAAGTACTTCCACCCCGTTGCAACTTCTCCTCCATGGCTGCAGGCAGAGAGGAGAGCAGTGAAAGTAGCATGGTCAGCCTTTACCTCTGTTGTCTCTTTCATTCTTTCGAACATCTGAAACATTTCCTGTCTTCTTCCATGCATCCCAAAACCCAGTATGATAGAATTCCACGTCACCTCATTTCTATCAGACATTTGGTTAAATATTGTCAATGAGTCACTCATATTGCCACATTTGGCATATGCACTAATCAAGGAATTGCCGATGAGAATATTGTTGATCAGAAACCCATGTCGCAGTATATAGCAGTGAACCTGCTTGCAGAGGATCATAACTGCAAGGTGCATGCAGACAGACAAAATGCATGCAACCGTCACAGAGTTTGGTTCTAAATGCTGACTCTGCATATCACGGAATGCCTTAAGAGCTTTCTCTGGATATTCATTTTGAGCAAAGCCAGAAATTAGAGCATTCCATGACACCAAATCCTTGGTGGCTAATCCGTCGAAGACTTTTTCAGCTGAATTCATGTCTCCGCATTTCCCATAGAGATCAACCAGTGCACCACCTACAAAAGCATCCAATGTCAACCCCAGTTTTACTGCCATGCCATGGAGTTCCACCCCACTACGCTTCAATGCCAGGGATGAGCAAGCCCTCAATGCTGCCAAAAGGATGACTAAATCTGGAAAGCCGTTTAGTATCATGAAGTCTTCAAACAACTGCAAGGACTCATTTGGACAGCCATTCTGAGCGCAGTTTGAGATCACAGAGCCCCACATAATAAGATTCCTGTTTGGAGACTGCCTAAATATCTTCAAGCCAGTTTCAGGGGATGAACAATTGAAGTACATCTCGATGAGGGCGGTTTGAACTCTGACATCGTTTTCCAGCGCAAAGCTAACAAGAAGTCCATGAATTTGCTTTCCAAGTGCTAAATCTAACAACTGAGAACACAAAACTAAAACAGCAACCACTGTTGAGGAATCAGGACCAATACCAGATTCAAGCATTTCAAGGAATAAACTCAATGCGAGAGAGGGACATTCATTTGAAACATATCCAGTGATCATCACATTCCAGATCACTTTGTTTCCTCTCACAATATTGTCGTCAAGAATTCTAGTGAAAACACGTTCAGCATTCTTCACGTCCCCACATTTCATATACATATCAATCAAACCGCTAACCAAGTATTCATCTGAATCTAACCTGTTTTTCACAAGGCATCCATGAATAGCTCTCCCGTGTGTCAAGGATTGCGTGGAAGCGCACGATGACAAAGCAGAAAGACAAGCTACCCTGTTCTGGAACACAGCACCATACTCCCCAATCATTCTGGCTAGAAGAGTCAATGATTCCGTGTAATATCCTAGGCGAGAAAACCCAGATATCATCGTGTTCCAGGAAACGGCATCCCGGTCAGGCATTTCATCAAACATCTGATCTGCATGCTCGACCGCCCCACATTTCCAATACATCCCCAACAGCGAATTACTAACATAAGTATCCTCCAAGAATCCAAACTTCAACAAATGCCCATGAATTTCCTCCCCTTTCTCAACACTACCCAGCCCACCAAACGCCTTGATCAAACAGGGGAAGAACTGAAACTCCTGAACTGGGAACCCACTTTCAAGCAAATCCACATACACTCTGATGGCATCGACAAACATCCCGTCATCCGCGTAATTCTTAATCAAGCTATTCGCCATGGTAACATCTACCAATACGTCTTCTTTCCCCCTAAATCCAACAGAACCTTGAGGCGGGCTCCCGGAGATACGCAACGAATCGCGGTTCTTCACAGAAACTGAATGCAATTTCGTGTTAAGAGGGACAAGGTTAGGGCTGCAAGGATCCAGGTATCTGCATTGCGCCACCGGCCGGTATGGTTGATCCGCTTGGTAACCTTGAAACTGTAGCCATTGTGACCGGAAGGAGTTCAAAGTACTCATCTTTCTCCCCTCAGCTTCAAACTTGCAGCTCCGAAAGCTCCGAATTCCGAAATCATCCTGATCGTTGACTCTTCAAAGTAGAGGACTTGGCCTGCAATGCCCTAAAACGGACGGGTTAAATTCGGAGCTAACCCGGCCCGGGGAGAAAAAAACCCGAAACCGTCTAAACGTTGTGTATTAGGCGGAATATAAAGTTAGCGCCTTTCCGCACTTTCGCTTTTCCCTATCGATTCTCTCTCTTTAGCTAGCACCAGCGTAGTGCTCAATGGAAACCAAACCCTCCAACGGCTCGCCGGCGAAGTTCGTCGATCAATTAGTGGTGAGTTCATTTGATTTCTGTTCTATATGATTTGGGTGTTTCTAGGTTTGATTTGGGAGACCTTTCTTTTGTGGTATTTAGGTTCCGGGTGATGTGATTCTTGATCTCTCTACCATGGCTGAACAGACTATAAAGCTCGGCGGCGGCCTCCGCCAGGTAGGGCAATCTTAGTTTCTCTGTTTCATGAGTAAAATACGAACGTGCTGCTTATCTTGTGGTTTGAGTTGGTGCTAAGTCTTTGCTGGAATAACTTAACAAGTCGAAACACTGTAATTTTTTTGTAAGGGTGATACTTTATGGGAAAGGAATGATATTATTTTCAATCTGATGGAAGGTGAATGTGTTGGCGAAATTTGGCAGGATTGTGATGCAATATCAGTTATCAAAGCTGGGATACTGAGGTTCTCAAAGCCAAATAAGTATTGGGTTGAAAGCTCTCAGAAAAGGGTGGGTGTGGTCTCATAATCCTTTAGCTTCTTTTCTTCGATTCGTTTCTCGCGTTCCTTTTACTACCGTCGTTTAGAGTGGAAGTGAAAATTTTATCTGGAACTATTTAGATTTGTTGCTAGTACCATGGTCTATACAATGACTACTTATATTATTGCTCATGCAGTATGTGCCTTGCGCTGAGGACTCTGTACTTGGAATAGTGGTGGACTGTAAACCAGATGTAAGAACCTTTCATCATCTTCTATTAGAAGTTGATGCCACTAGACTCTCTTTTCCGATTTCATATTTTGCCAAATAACCTTTGTTTATGAAATCCTCGGGATAGGTATACACATAGGGCTCACTTTCCAAACATGTTTTGCAGAACTTTCTTGTGGACATAAAAGGACCTTCTGTGGCATTTTTGCCCGTGCTTGCATTTGAAGGAGGGACTCGGAGGAACATACCCAGGTTTGAGGTATAGTTTCCATTGTGTTTACAACTTAGGTGTAGTCAATATTTTCAAGGGGCATTTTCTGTTCGAGAGTAGTGCCCTCAATCTTCAAAAATCTTAATCTTCGAACATCTGGCTGGAGTTCAAGTCATGATTTGTGCTAAGAATGTAGCTAATTAAGGATTGGACAAAATGCAGTGGTTCTAGATTGATGTTTATTTCCTTGCTTTCATTGTTCTTGCTGTAAGAAATTCAAAACCTTTTGGAATAATTCGCTGGTTCTGATTAAAAAGTGTTTTTCCTTTATCATGTTTGGACTCCTTAACTGCTCTGTATTTGGCTAATTCTGTTTTCCACAGGCAGGTACTTTGATATATGTTCGAGTGGTGAAGGCAAATACTGGAATGAACCCAGAGCTGTCATGTGTTGATGGTTAGTGAAAAGCTTCTTCGTTTTATTTTTTATTCCTTCATTTCCCTTTTCATGTGCTGTATTTGTGTTTGGTTTGACTCTTCTAAGTATATTGTTTCTGATACTCAGCCACAGGGAAGGCAGCACAATATGGAGCTCTCAAAGAAGGCTTAATGTTTGAGTGTTCGACAGGTCTATCCAGAATGTGAGATATCTTCATGTTTAACTTTCTAAAATATAAATCTTACAGTTTCCAGCCAAATGATGATTGATTTTTCTCTTCCAATTTTCTTATTTACCATCATAATCGTTATAGGTTATTAAGTTCTCCAACATGCCCAGTCCTGGAAACTCTTGGAAAGAAGCTCCCCTTTGAGATAGCAGTTGGGTTAAATGGCAGAGTTTGGGTAATGTTCTTTTGCTGCATACTTTTTGTTACTAGTGTAAATTTGTGGGACTCAGTTTGGACATAAATATGAGCCTGTCTCTATGACAACCTTCTTGCTAAAGATTCAGTTACTTAATCGTAAAGCACCGGGTATTTGACTAAGGTGCAACTTTTTTATACACAGGTCAATGCCGGTTCTCCATCGATCGTCATTGTTGTTGGTAATGCTATCATGAAGTCAGAGTCTTTGACTAAGGTTCAACAGAAAATTATGGCAGAGAAGTTGCTGCAGAGGGTTCAGCAGGGTATGTTTGTTACGATTCTCCTTAACCATCCTTCCATGTGTACTCGTCCTAGTACATGCTTCTTAATCTTACTTATATTCCCCTGTTGCAGAATGATTGGAGACCTCAAACATAGCATCACCGTTTTGATCCTCTACTTCAGGAGATGGACGTGTTCATGGAGAAGCCTTCTTCAGGTTAGCAAGACTCCATAGCCAGTAGTTACAGAGCAAATTGAAAGCGTAATTGTAGTTTGGGGTATACTCAAAAGCTTTGATTGTCCATGTATGCACGACCTTGTCGTTATAGTGTCCCATGGCAATGTTTCTGTTTTATTTAATGAAGCAGAATGTGTAGGTAGGAGGAGCAACTACCGTTTGTTCTAACATGATTTGTTATTGTACGAGCCTTTCTAACGTAGATGTGGCGTGTTATCCAATCCATTTGCTGTCGCATGAACTGCAATATACTAAGAGATTGATCACTTTCTTCTGTTCTTCCATCAACATTGAACTTTAGAAACAGGATCGATCGTAGTAATAGCAGGACATGAAAGATGATTGTTGTTGGATGTATGTTGTTGCCATACGGAAGTTGCAGCAACTGCAATTTCATGCTCCTCTAGCCACCCCACAAATCACTACCACCATTGCCCGATACCATGTCTCCAAGCTGTCACTATCAAGATAGTGGATGGCCAGCAGACGTAAATGATCAGTTTGAGGTTGATGCAGAAAGTAAAATGGGGTTAGAAGCAGAGCTGTGGCCAGGGAAAGTAGCCAAGTTTTTGTAGGTAGATTGCCTATATCTGCAGTTTCCCGTGCCAGCAGCTTGGTCCGATAGGGTATCGGAAGCACTCCCAATACCCAACTGCAAAAACCAAGCACACGAAATTACAGAAGAGGGATGATTCGACGATAGACGAGTGATGCAGTTGAGTTCAATCTGGATGATTAGGCGGCAACCATGAAACCGAGAGCAAACGTTTTCTACGAAGGTTAGAAAAAGGGAGGCGGCAGCGAGATGAAGAGGATCAATGTGGCCGATGAAAGATGAAGTGATGAGGGAGATGGAGAACTGAGGTATTTTGTTGATCTTCGCCGGACCGGCTATTTCCTACATCATCTTCAGTTGGACGAGTAGTAGTGTGACGTTGTCGCCATTTTTTATCGGGACAAACTCTGCTTGTTCGAGATCGAGAGTTGGACATCCCCATTATTTACGTATAAAAGTTATATTTTCTCGCAACACTAAAACTAGCATCGTAACTCTTATTGATAAGGATGACACGCTGATAATCGTTTCATTAAATTTATTAGCTTCCACTCTTAAGTATTTAATTTAAAATTCAAATTCCGGCCACTAATACCCGATCCATTATCCTACCAATTAAATTTATTTACCCCCATTATTAATCTAAAACATAAATTCAATTTCCTAATTATCCTTAACCACTTAACAACCTATTAAATCCACTAGATTAATCTAAGGGTCAAGATTAGGTCTTAGTTAAGAAATTCAAATATGTGACTATCATATCCAAATTAATGACAGTACCACTAGACCTAATGATAAAAATAAGAGTGGCAATTTAAAAAAAAACTTTTTAAGTTTTAATCTTTTAAGACCCTGAAGGCCTGAACCCAACCCGTTGCAATTTGATCAATATCTTATTTCTCAAGTTGTCCAATGTTAATCCGACCAAATGACTTACTTGCATTTCTCAAGAGACACTAATATATTGGAGAAAGGATTAAAAAAAAAAACCCTAAAAGACTACTGCATCGGTTGGATAATTGGATCGGCCCCCTGTACAAGAATTAACCAAAAAATTGTTCTATTCTCCAAGTTTTAACTCTGTCTTCCTTCAAAGCTGCTCTCCTCCAATTCATTTTCCTCTGTATCACCTACAATCGGTTGAGTCTCAGAAATCTCACCCCAGTCCTTCATTCGCGCCTCGCTCTTCGATGCCTGCAACACAGATCGTCAATCGTCATGTGATGGTGCAAGTTTCCATTAACCCTCTATCAAATTACCTCTCATTCCAAAGAGAACCATATGAACATAACAAAAGAAACTCACTTCAGTTTCCCAGTTTGTTGTGTGGATCACGAACAGTAAGAAAGCCATCTGAAGCACACATCCAACCACCATCCCTGACCATATACCCTTTACTCCGAACTCGAATGTGTACCCGAGCATGGCTGCCAACGGAAGCCCCACAATGTAGTAACACACGATGTTAACCACTGCAACCTGGCTTTGCCACCCTGCTCCAACTGCCACGCCTGACCAGAATAACGTCCATAGACTGTTAAAAAAAATGCAGGCAGGAAAGTCTTCGAAAGAAAAGGCAAGACTTCGTTCATATGGGTAGAAAGCTGTACCATGGAGTACAGGCATGATGATGTCGAGGAAGATCACAGCCGCCAAGAAGTAGGCCAAGTTTCCTGCTTCTCTGATGACATCAGAATCTGAAGAGAAGAGCTTGGGGAATTCGTTCTTCGAGGCCAACACCACTGTTGAGAATGTTACTCCGACTACTGTAGATGCGCAAATCGTAACTGCGATTGACAGTTTCGCCGCTTCGTGGTTTCCAGCTCCCAGTTCATTAGCCACTCGGACGCTGGTCTTACATAGAAATCGATTTCGATCAAATTAGTCCAACCATATGGAGAACAACTAACTAATCACTATCAGCCAAAACGGAGTCTATGAATTAACCTGACAGCAGCATTGAATCCTGCAGCAATGATCCATGCCCAGTATTGAAAGTTCAAGCTGTCACATCCAAAATAAACAGAGACATTACTTTCTTCCCAAGTTACTCAATCAACATCAAACTTCAAGCTGTGAATAGATTAGGGGATTTGATTGTTTGTTTCGTTTACCAGATGGAAGAGGCAGCAACTGCAATTTCAGGGTTCTCTAACCATCCCACCATCAGAATCACCATCGTCGGGTACCATATCTCCAAGCTGCCACATTCAAGTTCATCGTTCACAACATTCAAGCTAGCTATACTCAAACAAGAACAGACCAAGAAAAGCTAACCATGACAGTACAGCGGAAGCCAGAGAAAGCTTGGCGAAAGCCGGGAAAGAGGAGAACGCCTTGGTCGAGAAACCCGTCCAGGAATCGAAACTGCCCCACACCATGTACACAACTTGTGCCACAACCAACAAGAACCAGGAGACATCCCCAACAACAGCTGCACCTATGATCCCATACCCGAGCTTCGAAACGAACACCCAATTCAACAAGACATGAACAGAAAGTACTGCGCTAGAAATCCCAGCCAAAACCCAAACCCTGCTCTGCGCCTGCAGAAACTTCTGCATTGGGAAATTCAGGGCAAAGAAGAACAGCTGCGGCACCATCCATACAGCAAACCTCCCAGCGAGCTCCGAAATCTGCTTCTCCTGCCCAAGTAGGGTGTGGAAAATTGGGGACGCCAGGACGTAGATTGGAGTTAGAAGCAGAGCTGTGGCGATTGAGAGCAGCCATGACCTTTGCATGTAGATTCCCAGCATGTACAGCTTTTCCGCTCCCACTGCTTGCCCCGATAGAGTCTCCGATGCGCTCCCAATTCCCAACTGGGTTTTTCAATTGATCGGGAAAAGAAACCAAAATCCCTAAAAAGATTAGGGGTTTCCCGAAATCAGAATTGGGCAATTGAAAATTTTCCTGGTGAATGAGTACCAACCATGAATCCGAGGGCAAACTCTTCGAGGACGTTGAGGACGATGGAAGCGGCGGCGAGCTGTAGAGGTCCGATGTGGCCGACGAAAGCTGAAGTGACGAGGGCGATGGAGAACTGAGATATTTCGGTGATCATGGCCGGACCCGCTATTTCCCACATTTTCTTCAGTTGGGAACCATACCGCCGGAGAGCCGTCGTCGCCATCTGATCGGCGGCAACCAATTTTCTTGGCCCGATGGAAGAATGGTGTTACGTTTCTTTTGCCCTGGGAAAGAAATGGCGTGGTCTCCTCTGCGTCTTGGAAGTAGTTGCATCCGAATAAAGCTGTCCGACTGAAGACCTGATATTGTGATTACTGATTAGAGAGCACAATTTTCATGTCAGATTTTGGGATTTTCCCCAAAATTATGCACGTTACTATAAAAATTCTCAGAATATAATAATTTTCTAAGAAATTCCCAACTACATTGAGACATATCATTTCAAACAAAATCGATAGGAGATAGATTGATTGACACCTCAACAATTTGTTATGTACGGAAAAAAATATCAAACGATATTAACTTTGTGCTCGATTATAAGATAAACGTGGATTATTTTTTGACTTTGCATAACTTTTCGAGATCCTCGAAACTGCAAACAATCAAAAGTGGTATGTCCGACTTTTTGTCTCCAAGTAAGATCATTTGTTGCCTCAAATTAACCATTTTGTGATTTCACATAACTTTTGACGGTCTTAAGAAAATCATCATAAGAAATCTTGTTGCTATTTGACCTTCTAGTCATGGGATTTCCGTGGTTAATGCTTAGTCACGGTTTTATCGTGATGAAATGTATCATTTGTCCTTCGATGTTTCCGGTTAAGAAAACTTTATAGTCACAGGATGTCCCGTGACAATGATATTTAATGGCCTTGCTGTCACGGGATTTTTGTCTTTGTTCACGGGAATTCCCGTGATGGAAGGCGAGTTTTCCTGTATTTTGTTTGATCATTCTTAAATTGTCATTCGCCTATTGATGCAAGAAAATTTTGAACAAGAAGGGAACAAAAGCATGATTCAGTGGTACTATCACTGGTGTAGAATCTAGAGGTCTCAGATTCGAATAACTTAAGCAGCACCTTACTAAAAATCAAATCTATTTTTAGCCCTCACGACCAAAATAGTTCAGGATTTTTAGTAGTCGAACTTTAATTTCATGAACAAACTTTACAAAGATAGTCGTCGAAAGTAACTTGGTGAATAAATCTGCTAGATTCTCACTTGAGAGGACATTGTGAATAATTATTTCATCAATATTTGGAAGATCATGAGGGAAAAATAACTTGGGGTGGGATATGTTTTGTTTTATCTCATTTAATGTATCATTGCTTTAATTGAGCAATAAATATTGCATCATCTTCATACATGATCAT